GAGGTGGCTGACATGGCGCGGCAGACCTCTCCTGACCAGCCCGCTGCTCCTGACCCGCCCGCTGCTCCTGACCCGCCCGCTGCTCCCCTCGGCAGTGTACTTCGTGGATCTGCCTGTTCTGCTCCCCACTCTGTCTCTGGTGAAGCCTCTCACTGCCCCTGAGCCTCTGGCCTGTACCCCAGGTCTGTATGCATAAATAAGTAAATGTTTAAAAAAATAGCATTTCCCCCCAATTACTAGTGTAATGAATATTGAATATAATTGGGAAAACAAAAATTAAGAAGAAATATACCTACTAATAAAAATATTAGGACCCAACTGTAAATAATGCACTTGGTTCTGCTCTTTCTTGACCTTGTATTCGACTCCAGATCACCATGTGACAACATGACTTTTAATGACTATTCAATATTGTTTTGAGGAGATTCCACAGTTTGCCAACAGTCTGACATTGTTGGGCATTTTGTTGTTTCTAATAATTTTTTTTCTTTATCCATAACTTGAACACCCTACATGTATATCTATTAGACCATATCCTTCGCAGGAGTTGCTGGGTGGTCTGGAGTTTTGGTTGTGAAGGAGAGTCAACCCATGACCTCAAGGGTAGCAATAGTTACTATAAAGATTCTTGACCTGGGAGATCCCTGCAACCGGGGAGCTTGGGGATGGTCCCTGTTTCTGGCCCAGAGTCCAGCCTTCAGGATTTGTTCGGTGGAAGTTGGGTGGGCGGAGCAGGAGGGCTGAGAGGCATGAGTTCCTGAGGCAGGGAGGGAGTACAGGGTCCACTGTGACCATCACTGGTCTGGGGATTTTATGACCAGGGCCAGCCTTTCCCTGCCAGCTGCGATTCTCCTTGCTGCATGACTGTCGGAGGCCCGAGTTGCCCCATTCCCTAGGGAAGATGGGAAACTAGGTTCCAGTTTTCCTTTACGCCATCAGCGTTCAGAGCCAGGAGAGGCATGGAGTGGGAACTTGGGAGGTTTATGGGGCTGGGCTCTCAGTCTTTTCTCTGACTCAGGTTCTCTGTCGAGGGCCAGAACCCCTGGAGCCTGCAGACTGTGCGGAGATGCCTGGGCCTGCCACTCCAGGGGCCCGCTGAGGGCTCAGCATTTGTTGACACCACACGCCCCCTGGTGGTCGCTTCTCCACGGCCAGCACAGGGGGCCTGGACGTTTTCCTGCTCCAGCCTGCAGCCTACACTTCTGGGGATGTCTCCTGCAGGCTTACATTTTCCGGCTCAGAAAATGGGTTCCAGCTCTAACTTTGTGTCTGACTTGCTACTTGCTGTGTGGCTGTGGTTACCGCACACCCCTTTCTGGGTCTCACTTGAGTCATCTCTGCAGTAAAGAAGGCTGTGCTGGTCCTATTGGTTCAACATGGGGGAAGGGAAGGGTCTGAACCTTTGCCACTCCTGCACACCTTGGCTGGTGCAGGTGTGTGCAGTGTGGCTAGCAGATTCCAGGGGGCATGGGTTGTGGCCTAGCTTGATGTCACTAAAGTCTCCAATATCAGAGATGAACCTGCAGCCTGCACCAGGAGTACAGGGTGAGCAGAAGCCAAAGAAAGCAGGTGGCCAGAGTAGAATAGAGCTCAGAATCACACCCTGTTGGAGGGTGGGAAGAATGTGGCCAGCTGAATCTGGCGGTGACACGTTCTGGAAGGCTTTTTGGAAGAGAAGGCAGTGAAGAGATCTCATGGGCTCCAGGGGCTGGAAGACTGTGAGTTCTGGGAGCAGAATGGCCCCTCAGAGGGAAACTGAGCTGATCAAGCAGCCTGAGGTGTGATATTAACAGGAATGGCAGAATCCCTTCCTTAAAAAAAAAAAAAACGCAACTATCGCACTGTAGCAATGGTTAAAATCAATCTTTTCACAACTCTGGAAATTAACCAAAGGCTTGCAACAATTTAGAGAGTGTTTATTCAAGAAAAACAGCTGCATCTTGGTAAGAATAGTAAACGTTGGGTGTTTTCACTAGTCCTAGTCCCATCCTCTCTCTAGTCCTTGAAACCCAACAGAAGAGCCACTGGGACATGGCGGAGCAAGCTTGGAGCACCTCCGAAACCCTATTCTTATCTTACATAACTGTCATTATTTGACCTGTGTGGTGGTTTTCCAAAAGACCTCACTTGGGAGGTTGTGTTTACTTGAACTGACTTGAAACTTGCTTCATGCAAACTTATCTTTTGTGCTGAGAGTAGTTATAGAGAAAAACAGTAGTGGAAATCACAAACATAGTAGCTGCTTAAGGTAGTGATAACTGGACCAACAGTCTTAAACAAGAAACTGACGGAAAATCTTCAAAGGAAAATTTGAAGAATGAGCTGTCTAGAGAGGGCTTTGGCATATCTTTTCAGATCTGAAAACTTACTCACAAGTATAAGACTGTGCGTATGCCCAGGAAAGATCTGGGAAGGCTTTGAACTTCACTTCTGGCTGACTTTGTGGCTCATTGCAATCAGTACTTGAAGACTAAGTGTTATAACATGTCTGCCTGAGCATTGAAGGAATCTCCAACTTCTACATGGAGCCCCCTCTCCTCAGCACATGCTGAGAGACCGACTGGTTTGGTTCCGGGCACTAAGGGACTTCTTTCCAGTGATTAGCTGACCACTCACAGAGACTGTGGTGTGCCCATCACAAACAGTGCTTATGCCTCAACACTTGTTTGGGAAAGTCCCTGAGCAAACAGCAACACAAGCCCTGTCGGGACAGGGATCTGGTTTGCATGGTTGTAATATTTTACATTTAAGATAACCAATTTTCTATGAATATTATGAAAGGTAGGGAAATATGAATGTATGGCCTACTCACAGGGAAACAAGCAGTTCATACAAACTGTCCTTGAAGAGACTCAGGTGTTGGACTTAATGGACAAAGACATCAAATCCGTTATTTAAAATGTGTTCAAAGGGCTAGAAAAAACCTAAAGAACTAAAGAAAAGCATGAGAGTCTTACCAAATAGAGGAAATCAGCAGAAGTAGAAATTTAAAAGAGAAGAATAGAAATTTTGGGGTTGAAATTATAATAAGTGAAATAAAAACGTCACCAGAAGCGCCCAAGGGCAGATGTGAGGTGAGTTAAATGAAGAAAAGATCAAATGGTCAGTTGAGATTATCTAGTTGGAGGAACAGAAAGATAAAGAATGAAGACTGTAACTGGAGCCTTAGATGCCTATTAAATATTAGCAAATATTCTAATATATGCATAATGGGAGCCCCAGAGGAGAGGAAAAAGAGGCAGGATAGTTGAAGAAATAATGGTGCCCAAATCCCCAAATTTGATGAAAACATTAACCCACATATCCAAGTTCAACAAATTACAAATAAATTAGAGTCTTGCAATTTATCCTAGTCACATCAGAATGAAGCTCTAAAATCAAAGATACTGGGAATATTGAAAGCAGCAAGAGAGAAAAAAGTCATCACCTAGAAAGCTTACTTAAAAGAGTACCAAGCATTTTCTTATCAGAAGCCAGGAAGGCCAGAAGGCATTGGAATAATAAAAATGCTGAAAACAAAAACAAAAATGCAGCAATGTTTGCCAATGAAGAATTCTCTATCTAGCACAACTGCCTTTCAAAAAAAGGGGATAAATCAATACAATCCCACAGTTAGCAAAATAGAAAGGATTCTTTACCAGCAGACCTTTTCAGAAAAAAATACTAAAGTGAAAGAAACTAGACAGTATCTTGAATCCACATGAATAAAGATCAGGAATAAAGGTAAATGGGTAGGTAAATATAAAAGACGGCTTAAATATACTATATGATTTTTTCTCTCCTTGATACTTTAAAAGACCATTTCAAAAAGCATAATTATAATTCTATGTTGATGGACACACAGTATATAAAAATTTAATATGTATCACAATAATGGTACAAAAGTGGAGGAAGGTTGTAGAATTATGTAGTAGCAAAGTTTTGTACATGAAGTTAAGTTGGTATAAGTTCTAACTGGGCTGTTATAAGTTAAGATTTTAAATATAAATCTCAAAAGGGCCACTGAGAACATTGCTAAAAAGTTATAATAAAATAGATGACAAGAGAATTAAATGGTGATTTACAAAGTATCTGTTGAGCTTAAAAAAAGGCAAAACAAGTAGGAAAATGGCAGATATAAATCCTACCTTATGTGCAATTACATTAAATGGAAAAGAATCAAATACTCCAACAAAAAGCAGAGATGGGCAAAATGTATCAACTGCTGTGATCCAACTATATTTTGTCTGCAGAAGACAGACTGAACGCAAAAGGGTGAAAAAAGATAAATCATGTAAGCAGTAACCAAAAGATCGTTGGAATGATTATACTAGTATCAGAGAAAATGGATTTAGGATAAAACTTCTTAGATACAAAGAGGTATATTTTATGATGCTAACAGGGTCAATCCATTATGAAGATACAGCAGTTATAAACCTAAATGCTCCTAACAACAGAGAAAACAAATGAAGTAAAATCTGACAGGAATAAGGGACAAATAGCCAATTCAACAATAACAGCTGGGTATTTCAGTGCAGAAAGCTACACTTTCTGCAATGGGTAGACTGACTCAACAGCACATTGGTGAGGGAATACAAGGCTTGAGTAAACTATCAGGACCTTATAGACAGCTATGGAACAGTCCACACTCACGGGCTGAGCCGCAACTGAGCACTGGTCTTGTTGAGCTGCAGACTCTAGATTGCAGACCCACAGCACAACAAACATTCCTTTTATGGGCACATGGAAATTTCTACAGGATAAATCATACATTAGGGCATAAAACAAGTTTCAATAAATTTATAAGGATCAAACTCACAAAAATCATTTGTTCTTTGGCCACAAATGAGTCTAACTTTCCCGACAACCCAATAGAGATCAATAATAATAAGAGACAATTTGGACGATATGTAGATAGTAAGCTAAAAAATCCCTAAATAATGAATGGATCAAAAAAGAAACCACAAGAGAAACGAGAACAAAATTGGGATGAAGGCAAATTGACCCTGAGAACTCCAAGAAGTAATGTTTATGCAGAGTACAATCACCCACGGGGACTCTTCCCATGGAACCTGCTGGCTCAAGTAATAGGGACCTTGTCTCCCTCCTCCATACAGACCTAAGTCTGACACCGAAGCATCCTCCTTTTTTGGTTGTGAGATTTTCCAGGTAGGATTCCAAGGTTGGCATCTACATGCCACAATAAAATGCCAGTGCTGAATGCCTGCTGTCAACCAGCTAATTGGGGGTGACCCCCTCCTCCCTGTGGGGCTTTTAAAGCACCCCCTTCCCCATTCACTTACCAAATGGAAATGCTGTTGTGGCTGCACATTTCAGAGGTCCTGCTGGGTTGTGTAGGGTGGGGGTGGGCTTGGGGGCATGTATAGAGGCTGGGTGATGTCATGGAGTTCCTGTCTTTGTGCACGTGAACTCTCTCGGCTTTAGATATGGGAGAATTGAAAGATTTTCTTTATTTGGTATAAAAAAAATACAGTACATCCTATGCACCAGTGTGGCCAATAGATATATATACGTAGCGCGACAGAGAGGCATCATTTCTAGAATGGTTACTATAATGATAGGAAATAGAAGGTTACAAGAATCAGATAATCCAACTAAAAAACCTGAATTAAAATAAAAACCTAAATAGCAATCAATTTATTATGTAAAAACCCCTTTTCTATATGTTTGTGTGCACTAGAAACTTGTAAGTGTTATTAGTAAAAAAAAAATATGAAATATTAGTTTGGTTTTTAAAGTTAGTGTTCTCTACAGTCCCCTGGAGTGTGAGGGGTCTCCCCGGAGTGGGAACCTCCATCCATGAAGAAGGGTGGGTGAATGAGTGTTTGCTTCATTCCCATTTTGGGAGATCCAGAGATGACCACAAAGGTTGGGCAGGGGCCTTGCCTTCCGCAGGGCCTGAGGGTTCTGCTGGGGTTCCCTGAGATGTGGCAGCAACGAGGTGTGGAGGCAAATGACACGGCCCCACTGCGTAGTGATTTGGGGTCTGCACAATGGTCAGAGTTGCTGTGAGTCATATCTGGAGTGCCTCAAAGTCAGCAAAGCCAGGAAATCAGAAGTAAGTTGGAGTCGGGGGGAAGAAAGAATGACAGAGGGAACACTCGCAGAGATGGGGGAGGGTCTGCTCTGGGAACATCTGCCCCTTTCGGGAACAAATGGAGGGGTGTTGATGATCAAACTGGGGTCACAGCTACTCCAAATACTCCCCAGAGGTTATGGGTTTGGAGGTAGCCCTTGCCCTGCGATCTGGTCTCCCTCCAGGATGAATTCACAGTTGCTTAAAGTTCAACAAGCCATTTCCCTGACTTTGGTGGGGTTTTCAATGCCAGCGAAGACCAGTGAAGTCACCCCAGCACCCAAAGCCAGGAATGGCCAAGGGTCCCTTCCTTCCTTTCGAGAGACCTGGGGAGGGGCTGGCTGGACAGTGGTGGGGAACTTGGGAAGGCGTGAAGTTGTGACACTGAAGCAGGAGGGGGTGATGGATGGCCTGCTTCCCTTGGGACTGTGCTACCATGCCCTGCTTCACCCTTGCTTCCCTGCCCCCCTCACCCCAACACTTTGCCTGCAGTACCAGGCTCTCTGAGTTCAGGGACCCCCAGGGACGACGGTCTCAGTCAGTTGATCAAAGCTGCTTTGAGGTCCAGAGTCCCAGGTTAGACCTGTGGGCCAGGCTGCAGGACTACAGGCCTGCCCCAGCCCAGACAACACCAGCCTGGATTTTCCAGCAGCTTTGGGTTAGCGGTCACAGGCACAAGGTCCTGGATGTTTCAGGGAGCTAGAGTTATCTACACGGAGCTCCCAGAGGGAAGGGGAGTGGACTATCTCTTCTCCAAACTCTCCTGTAGCAAGCGTCTCTGAAATCCTTAATGCAGGCACTCTCTGTTCCCGGGGTGCCTCTGATGCTGCTGCCGCCACCCAAGTTGGTGTGGCCTCTGGGGCGTGGGAGGAAGGGGAGCTGGGCTGGGGCTTCAGTGCTGCCACCCCAGGACTTACTTCCTGCTGACCCACCGGCCTGAGTTGCATTGATTTGGGTCCTCAGGCCTAGAGACCCTTGGGCCCCTAATACACCAGCTCCCCCCGGGGGTCTGAGCCATACAGCTCCGCCAGCATCTTGAACCGGGGCCCCCAATCGTTGAGGAAGTCATAATCGACGTCCGAGTCGGACGAATCGGTGCCCAGGGAGCTGAGGGACTCCGCTATGGACTCAGAACCCTCGTAGCCGTACACGTGCGTGGTGTCGTAGGGCGGGCCGCCCTCGTCGAGGTCCGCCTCCTCCTTCTTCACCTCGATCATGGTGGCCATCTCTCCGGGCCCTCCGTGCATCCCTGGTGGAAGGCGCGGTGGCTTCTGCACCTGGGCATACAGCGCTGGCCTCGTGTCCAGCGCCGGCCGCGGGGGCTTGGCCCTGCCGTGGCGCACCGAGTTGAGCACCGACACGTCGTAGCTCGTGGTGTCCATCTCGCCGCCACCCTCCTCGTCGTAGGTGACCAGTTGCTCGTGGATCTCCAGCACGTTCTTGCCGTGCGCGCGGGCCTGCTTCCGGATCCGCCGCCACAGGAAGAGGAGCATGGTGATTACTGCGGGAGAAGGCCCCGGAGAGGGTCAGACAAGGATGGGCCGGCAGGGTGGCCCCTCGTCTTGGAGTTTCACCTGCTCCTTCCCTGGGCCAATTCTGATCCAACGCAACCAACAGAGAAACCTGGGGCAAGTGTGATTTACTCCAGACAGGGTGCAGCTGCCCTAGGCCAGGGGGGAACCATTTCCCTTGCCCTGAGTGGGGATGGGGAGGAGAGAGCAGAATGGGCTGCCCTCACGTTCATTCTCACCTGCCTTCTCAGCCATCTGTCCCTGCAGCCTCGTTTCCTGGCATCTCCTGTCACTGGGGCAAATCCCTCTATGCTATGTTCAAAGGCCAGGAGGCCAGAGGCTGAGGCAGACCCGGGGAGAGGCTTAGCGCTGGACTCCGGAGGCCGAGACTCTGAGGCTCGCTTCGTGGACAGTAGTGATGGGGGAGGGGTGGCTGCACTGGTCAGCTGGTCAGCCGGCCCGCTGGGTGATGTAGCAGCCGCTCTCAAGCGCTGCTGCCTGACTGGCAAGGTGTGGAGCGCATGCTGGTGTTTTCTCGCCCAAGGTAGGTTTTATTATCCCTGATTTACAGTTTAGCCAGCTGCGCTCAGAGAGCTGTGGTGTCTGCGAGCCCCACGTGGGGCAGTGGTATATAGTCATCCCTGCAGGTCCAAGTTGAGGGCCTGTGTGTGGCTCAGCCACCCCTGGAGGTGATGGAGGGTATGTGCAGCGAGCCCCTAAGCCCCTAAAATTAGGCTCAGATTGTTCCTTCTAGCCTTGAGTTACTTAGCAAGTTGTTACTACACGTGGACATAAATCTGGGACACCCTCTCTGAGCCTCAGTTTCCTTGTCTTGCTCGCTGTGTATTTGGGGATGCAGTTAGGAGGTCAGTGGTGGCAGAGGTAATAATGCTCCTGCTACCGCTGATATTTTCATTATAAAAGGGGAACCTGGCTCTGGTGACTTCTGTGGTGCTACAGAAGCCTCCAAAGGGGAGACACACCCAGGGTGTTTCCGAGGGGAGCCACCAATAGAGAAGACCTGGAACAGAAGATGCAGGTACACGACCATATACCTCACCTAATCTTGTTAGTGTAGCTCAGGGGGTGAGCTCTAACCTCCAGGGCTGGCCCTGCTCCATCTCATGGCAGGTGAACGGCTGGAGAGCTGATGCCCCTGGGAGGTGCCCCCAGCCATCAGCTGAGTGGAACTGCATAAATGATGGGACACCCGCTCTGAGCCTCAGTTTCCTTGGCTCATCAGCTGAGTGGAGCTGCATAAATGCTGGCTGTGAGTGCTTATAGCAATGCCTTACAACACTGTCCAGTAGGTGGACTTGCTGTCAGTTATTACAGGCATTTTTAACTCAAACATTTTCACCACATAACTAATTGGCCATAGGCAATTTTGCTGCAAATATAAAATCATGAAAAAAAGATTCAGGATTGAATGTTGGACCATATATATATATACTCTTTCTAGATTTCCCTGGAAGTAAAATGAGTAAGATGAATAAGTGCTGCTCTTTCTGTCACTACATGTAACAGGTAACTGACAGTGTGTATCTGGACTACATGTAAATGTGCCTTCTCATGTCCAGTCCTTCTGTTTCACCAAATCATCTATGCCAGATTCTGTGACAAGTCCCAAAATTCTGTCTCCATCACATCCTCCCAGATAGCTAAAACATTTTCAGTCTTTTCAGAAACCTATCAGGACTCTCACATAGCTGTCTGTTTTTTTGGGATGGGGGAGCTGGATTCTCCTTTTGCCTCCGGCTGCTCACATTGTGTGATATATTTGGTAAAGATGGCATTAGAGAACAAGAGGTTTCTCCAAAGAAGCAAAAGCATCGATGACTGATAGCCTTGAAGAGTCTTGTGAATTGCTGGTCGTGCCTGCCACGATTGCCTCCTTAGGTAAATTTTGGTTGCAAGGGGGAAGGAATATGTCACTGAAGGATAGCAAACTGATAGGCAGTCATTAGCTAGTCTTGTGTGCAGCCTGGCTTTCTACTCTTATTTTCCCCCTTCCTGTAAGATTTATAGTGTTTTTATTCTCTCACGTCAATATATAGTTGTCCACTAACGTAAAACTGCTTCGTCTACTTGTCATTCTATAGACCTTTATGATGTAAATAATGGCTGTGATTTTTATAAAGGGCTTAGTTTTATATAGAGAATGGAGGCCTGCGTCTTTGCAACCAAACTTGATACCGAGCTGTCAAACCAAACTTAGCTGTCAAACCAAACTGTCCGACGGTTAGTCTGTATTTTACGGCAAAGTTGCCTTACGGCAGTTTAGCTGTACGGCTAAAAGGCTTGCAGTGGGAGTTAGCGCGCGCCTGCAAGACGTGGTTTCTGGCACGCAGTAAGTGTCCACAACATGTCCTTCAATGGAGTGAATGTCACGTGTGAAATATTTTAAAGCGGAAGAGGGTCATGAGCCCTGCCCCTCCCCCTCCTGCCCAACCCACAGGGAGCCAAGGGGCGCAGCTGGCACTCAGTATCCTTGAGTGGGGGCCCTGAGAGGGTTGCGCAGTGTCCGGGAGGCCAGGGCTGGCCCCTTCCTCCTCCTGGGCAGCCCTGGACACCCCCCCTGCGCCCCGCCCGCTCTCCCCAGCTGACCTGTGATGGTGAGGATGCAGAGGAAGATGGCCACCAGAGCCGGGATGCCGATGCCCGCCCGGGCGGACGCCTCTTCACAGAAGGTGAACTCGCCATAGTCATTGCACTTGCAGACGGCCACGGTCAGCGTGTTGGTGCTGGTGAGGCTCGGCTTCCCATTGTCGGAGATGAGCACCGGCAGGAAGTGGAACTTGGTACGTTCCCGGTCAAACTGTCCGTACTTGACCGTGATGTTGGCTGTGTTATCTGGGGCACCAAGGCCGCAGAGTCAGGGCCTGCTGCCCTGCGGGCCTCCCCCCCCCCCCGCCCCCACATCGATGCGTGGTGTGGCCTGCCTCCTCCAGGGAGCCCTCCCTGACTGTGCCATGTGCGGCCTGGGCGGCTTCGCAGCCCGTAGGGCCCCTTGCCTCATGTCCAGCACAGGAGTCGGTTCCTTCAGAGAAGGGGCCTCTAAGAATGTGTGGGCCAGAATAGAAAATCCTGGCTTTCTGTATCTGTGGGCAGCTGATATGCATTCTTCCTCTCTAACCCCTGTGTGGTATCGGGCAACTCACTTTGGCTCATTTAACTAATGGGTGGTCTCAAGCTTTGACAAGGACCCAGGGGAAAAAAAAATTAAAAAGTCTTTTTAGTATTGCGTGATCTCAGTACTAAGGTATCTTCTTCGTTTCTGCCATCCCTGAAAATTCATTAGAAAGTAAAAACAATGCAAATGCAAATGTTCCCCCCACCCACCCACCCACCCAGGGAATGATTACATAGGTAAGGGAGGATTTCCTGGGCAGACTGGAATCAGGAACGTGCTTTGGCCTAAATACAGACAGTCCCTGATTTATATAATTTTTCAACCTTCAATTTTTTTACTTTACAGTGGTAGGAAAATTATATGCATTCAGTCAAAACTCTACTTAGAATTTTAAATTTCAGTCTTTTCCTGGGTTGGTATTTGATCCTCTGCCGTGATGCTGGGCAGGGCAGCTCTCAGTCAGCCCTGCAGGAAGGAGGACGAGCCCGGTACACTCCAGACTGTTATTTTTTTCACTTTCAGTACAGTGGTCACTAAGTGACATGCAGTATTAAGCATTATGTTGTAAAGGAGGTTTGTGTTGGATGGATTTTGCCCACCTGGAGGCTAATGGAAGTGTTCTGAGCATATTTAAGGTAGGCAAGGCTAAGCCCTGATGTTTGGCAGGGAAGGTGTATTAAATGCATTTCTATCTTGGGTTATTTTCGATTTATGAATGGTTTTTCAGGATCTAGCTCCATGGTAAGTCTCAGAAAATCTGAATGGACTTATCCTCTTAGCTCTAATAAGTGATAAGAAGGCTCCCCCAGAGGACTTTTAAACATGCTGACTTTCAGATCCCTCCTCCTTTTCTGATGTAGTGGTTCTGGTTAGAGACCAGGTAATCCACCCTCTGTGTGGCGATGCTGGTGGTCAGGGGCGCGGCCAGGTACTCCCTGCACCAGGACTTGTCTAATGACACAGGTCCGGCCCACGTGGCAAGTCAGCCCAAAGCTGGAGGCCACCGTTTAGATTTCAAGTGCAAGCCAGTTACATGTCATGATTATGTTTATTACAATTGAGAATATGGTCATTGATACTTTACTAGTATTGGTATATCTAAGTATTGGTGTATCTAAGTAAACCTGAGACTTGTCGCCTGGTCACACATGGCACTGAAGTTTTCTCCCTCTTGGTAGACTCCTACTGTGGTAGCGCTGAGGTGGGACATTGAGGGTGTGATGAAAGGTACTTTTGCTACATTATTTACTACTAACGACATTTGAAGGTTGAATACTGTATTATCGACAGTACATAATGGCCACCTTTCCAGTTCCACCAGAAGCTCCTGAAGGACAGGTCTGAGATCTTTCCCCTGGGTCTACCTGCCTCTCTTAGGAACCCCGCTCCTGACTTTCCTCAAAGGTGACAGTAGCTGTTTCTGGGTTCCTCATCAACACAGTTTTGCCCAGAGACAGGCAAGGATTCCACCCGGTGCTGGGTGAAGGATCACTCAGATTTAGACCTAAGCAATACTTTCTCTGCTTTTCTGAGAAAGCTGCAGAAATCCTGGAAACCTGTCTGCTCTTGGCTGGAACTCAGTCAACTCAGCAACCGCATTCTAAGTACAGGCTCATCAGAAGCACTGATTGGTCACTAGTGACGTCACAGGACTGGCTGGGCTGCGATTGGTGAAGCTGATCTCTGGCACCCCCAGGTGGAGGGTAGTTATTGTAGCCTAATTGAAAACGGTGCCCTTGTCCTTTCAGAGTTCACACTTCCAGTTTTGATCCCCTGGGAGTGACCTCAAAGTTGCATGCCATGGAACATTTTTGCAGTTGTGCTGAGCACAGAGATCTGGTGGGGGAAGGAACCCCTTGGCTAGTTGCTTGCCAGGCTGTCTGCACCTGTCCCTGTTCTGGGCTCCTTGACCTGGTTGCATAGTGGGAATGGCACACCCAGGGGGCCTGCCACGCATGGGGGTGGCTCTGACCACTGCACACATCAGGAAGGTAGGTGGTAGAGTTGTGCAAATCTGTAACCTGAAGCCCCCATTCATTGGCCTGGCGGTTGACCCTGGCACTTCAGGACTCAGATAACCACACCCCTCAGGCTGCTAAGGGCCAGGCAGGCTGATTTGATGCTCACCGTGATTGTCCTTGAGGGTGAAGTTGCTGTCCTCAGTGCCCAGGGAGAACCTGAACTTCATGTTTTGTGGCGTTATGTCCTTGTCTATTGCGGAGATTCGCATGATCAGCTGAAGTGTGAAGATAGAAAACAGTCATTGGTGGTGTTGGGGTGACATGGGGTGTGACATGGGGTTCTGTGGTGGAGACTCTAGGTTTAGAGCTGACCTTGGCTGCCTCTTACCTGCAGCATTAATCTAAATGACCTCCACAAAGCTGCTCTTCTTGTCACCTTCTCCCCGTCAGTTTACTCTCCACAGATGCTCTCTAAACCTGTTTCTCTTTTTTTTTTTTCTTTTTAAGATTTATTTATTTATGCATACAGACCTGGGGTACAGGCCAGAGGTGCAGGGGTGGTGCGAGGATTCACCAGAGACAGAGTGGGGAGTGGAACAGGCCAACTGACAAAGTACACTGCTGAGGGGAGCAGCGGGCAGGTCAGGAGAGGTCTGCCCTGCCATGGGGCGTGGATTGAACTCATGCTGAAGTGTCTTTAGCTTCTTAGTGCTGTGCTTTAACTCGCTGCGCCACCAGGGGGGGCCCTGGTGACTCCAAAAGGAGCCACCTCTCCCTCCTCAAGCCTCTTGTTTAGGTTATATTCAGTGCCGTGCAAGGCCGCTGTGGGTGGGAGATGCTGTCCCTCAACCTGCCGCAGGGGGCGCTGCTCTTCCTCCCACCTGAGCCAGACTCACCTTGCCCTGGGGGGAGTTCTCACAGACTTTGGGCTCGTAGGGCTGGGCAAACTCAGGAGCATTGTCGTTCACATCCAGAATTTCAATGTGGACTTGCACAATGGATTCTTTGCCCGTGGGGTTCCCTGCAGGGGAGAAGGACCTGTCACTTCATAGGGTCAGCAGGTAGCAACCACAGGTTGGGGGCTGGGGGATCGGGACAGAAGGTGTGTCCTCAAGGATATCCCTTCGCTGAAGGGCTGTGGGTCTCCCAGATACACTGAGGATGTATTCTGGATGAAAGGAATAGCAGAGGAAGGGGGTATCACCATATGCACAAAGGTGGAATTACCTGTAAGTAAGAATCAGAATGGTAAGCGACCTAAGTGTGTTTCAGAAGGGTTTCAGTCAATGAATATAATCAACAGAGTCACTTATTAAATATTGAACTTAGTAATTAAACTCATAAATAAATATAATTTAATTAAAGTTAATTCATTACAAAATAACTTAAAAGGTAAACCACCTAAGTGAGATTGGACTAATAAATTACATGGCCATTTATAATGGTCATGTAAGTGACAATTTTAAAATGTAATTCAAAAGAGATATTTTAATGAAAGTAAATGGTCCTGGAATAAGGTTAAGTAAAAAATGGAGGACAGTTTTTATATGACTATTATGATCTCACTTACATAAAAATATGTGTAGAAAAAGACCAGAGAAAATATACCACAGCGCTAACAGTAATTATCTCTGTAGAGTGGGATCATGGGGGGTTAATTTCCTTCTCCTTTTCTGTATTTTCTATATTTTACTCTTTTTATTTACTCATTTTTTTCCCTCCAGCTCTACCCCTTATACCTCCTTGTCCTCTTCTTCTCCCTTTTAACCTCAGAGTCTTCTTGGTGATGACTGATGTCCACTAGTATTTTGTTATTTTTGTTGTATAATATATAAGTGTCCAGTATTTGTTCTTATTGTTCTGACTTGCGTTCCTACCATCATTTTTTCAGACTTCCTCCATTTTTTGGAAAACAACTAGATTTCCCCCATTCTTATGATTGAGTAGTATTCCAGGGTGTGGATACACCACACCGTCTTAATCCAGTCACCTATTAATGGACATGTAGGCTGCTTCCATGTCCTAGTGCTCATAAGTAATATTGCTGGGAAGGTTCTGGAATGCAAGTTTTTTTTTGTGGTGATGGTTTCATAATCTTTGGATAGATGCCTAGGAATGGTATTGCTGGGTTGCACCATATCTCCATTTTTAGTTTTTGAAAGTGAATGTAAATGTAAAGTAAATGCACTTCCCATATTTAAAAACAACAGCAAACGACTACCTTTGAAGTTTAAAACTGTATGAATGAGATTAGCTGGGGAAGAAAGAGGCAAAGATTGATGATTGGAAATGCATAGGAGCCCTTTGAGGTTGGCATGGGTGTCCTGGGGTCATCCAGCGGGGGCATCAATCTGTAGGATCGTGGCTAAGTCCCCTGGCCCCCCATCCCTCCAACACCCGCCTTCCCCCTTGTCTTGGTGGTCTCCTGGTGGGACTTTTTTTTTAAAAATAATGTAATAGTTTATTTTTACATCATTTTGTACATTTTCCCATCTCAGTTGTAATCCCCTTGGGCTTCCCATCACCAAATCACCCTGTGCCATCACCAAAGTCCACTGCATTTCCCTCCCTCCACTGTTTTTGATACCATTTCCCACTCCACCCCCATAAATTGTCTCTGGTATATAACTGTTTGTTATTATTATTATTGTTATTATTTTCGCGCCTGGTCCATTACACTACTGCTATGAGTGAAATCATCCAGTATTTTTCCTTTTCTTTCTGCCTTATCTCACTAAGCATGATCTTTTCCAGCTCCATCCATGTTGCATGCGTTTCTTTTTTTTTTTTTGGTTGCTGACTAATATTCCATTGTTTATATGTACCACATCTTTTTAATCCAGTCATCTACTTTTAGGCATTTGGGCTGTTTCCATGTCTTTCCAGTTGTGAATAAAGCAGCAATAAACATGGGGGTGCAGGTATATGTTTGAGTCAGTGTTTTTGTGTCTTTTGGGTAAATACCTAGGAGTGGGATTGCTGGGTCGTAGGGAAGCTCCATGTTTAGCAGTTTGAGGAACCTCCAGACAGTTTTCCATAGTGGTTGTACTAGTTTGCATTCCTCCTGGTGGGACTTTTAATCCTTCTCCTGGTGGGCAGTTGCAATTTTCTCATACAGGTAAAGGATGCAAACCCCTAAACACTCTGGCAATGGTTTCACTAGCTTCTGGAGAGTCTAGCTATCTTGGAGGTAGACGCTGTTTCAGATTTTGAATCCTGCACCAATGGGCACACAGTCCCCACACCCTGCCCAAGCAGCCCTTCCCACACGTCCCTTAAGACGAGCTTCATGCAGCACATACTCAGGGCACGTTCTGGGCTTCACATCTGCTCCCTGAACCAGAGCCTGAGGGGCGGTGCCTGATAAGTTCTGTGTTTAAGAGATACCTTGGGGCATCCTCGTCCTAGGGGCATCTGACAGCCTGTTTTACAACAAGCCTGGTAAACTGTAATGTGCTGGGACTCTGATTCTGCCTGGGGCGCAACAGCCCGCAGTTGACAGGTCTCTTAGGGATGTGACCTGCGGTGGCCCCACCTTATGCTTAACATCAGCCAGGTGCTGATAAACCTCCAGGAGCTTAAAATACCCCCAGAGGCCAGAAAGGACAGATCATGCCAATCTGAAAGCCAGAGGGAAAGGAGAATGATCCAGACCTCCTGGAGATGGGGCCACTCACCGCGAGAATCCAGTTCTTTGGCCTCTACAGTCAGATTGTACCAGGGGTACATTTCTCTGTCCAGTTCCTTCTCATTGTGAATGTTCCCTTGTTTGGTTATTCTGAAGAAGTAGCCCTTGTCACTGGTCCTGCGGATGGAGTATCTGTCCAAGGGAGAGAGAGAATCACAGTTTCCCATGGTTCTTTGCTGAGACCAAACTCCTCAGTGTGACAGAAGAGGCCTGATAGGAACTGTTTCTTGTGTCTCCCCCATCACTTGTCTTCTGACTGCTCATGGACCCAGAGGGATTCAGTGGCTGATAACTTAGCCTTTGATCTTAACGGTGTTGCCCTCATGGGCTGAAGGAGGTGTCTGAGCCAACCACTACCTGCGGTGTCTCTCAGAGCTGAGACAGGTGGGATTGGTTTTTGTGATAATGAAAAGGTTAAGTTGGGCAAGTTCCAGGAAGAAATGATAGCAATTAAAAGTGAGGCTGAGAGGGATAAGAAATGATTTGAAAAGAAATTAAATTTGTGAAATAAAATTTTTTGAGCAGAATTTATTGAGGAAAATTCCAGGACAAATAGAACAGAAGAAACAAGAGAAACAAAAGAAAACTTTCCTGACCTGAAGAAAGGCTCAAATCTACAGACTAAAAGAGACCATGGATGGCAGGCATACTTTTAAAAAGAGATCAATATTTATCTATATCTGATGACATTTTTTAATTTCAAGTCTATATGAAGAAAGCAAAAAGAATTCAGACAGAAAAAAAACAAGTTCCTTCTGAAGAGAGATCAGATTCACCCTAGATAGCCTCACAAATTTAAATACCAGTATATACTGATAGTATTTTTAAAGGGAAGTATCTATAGTCTGAGGATTATATGAGCACACCCAGCTGTTTTAACATGAGAGCAAAGAACTAAGTATTTATAAATGTGCAAGAACTCAGGAAGTGTATCACCCACAAAGATGGGTCCTGAAGAATTCTTTTGAAAACATATTTCATTTAATTAGAAATGTCTCCATATAAAGTAAAAACTTGGTTTGGAAGAAATTACAATAAAAACATTTCTTTATCATATGTAGAGAAGCAATGATGTGTGTACTATTTTTAACTAGGAAAAAGAAGTCCAGGAAAACATTTAATTTCACTGGTAGAAGTAAAAATGGATATATTCCAAATATCTAAGTGGGGGAAAAAGATAATTGACTGTAACAAAGATGGGGGGGGGAGGGAATGAAAAAAAGCCATTCAGTCTGAATTGTGGGCAATCTAAAGCAAGATACAAGAAATAAGAATACACATGTCATGATGCAAAATATAAATAGGTTAAACTCAAAGCATCTCAGTTGGGATTAAAAAGCAAAGCCAGCACATTCTGTTCTCAAGATACAACAACGCCGAAGTAACCTAGGGAAGTTAAAAATAAAGATCGGAAAATTCATGTCAGGTAGACACCGAAACACGCAAATAGGCCCACGAGCTTTATAAACTTCAGGCAGCAGGGACTGAGGGCGGGATGTTGAGGAAGACCAAATGCGGCAACTTAATGAGCTAAAAGTTACAAGTCACAGTGAAGGAAAATTGTTCTAAAGTTCAGTTAAATGAGTAGAAAAATGAAAAAGCACAATGCAAAAGCTTAGATATTCTGGGGGCGGGTTAAAGCGCACAGATACAACTGTGTGACATCATAGAACACATCAAAGCAAAAAGAACAAAACACCGTAACACTTCTAAATGAAAAGAAAAAGCAAATCCATTTCTTAACCACTTGGATCAGTGCAGAAATAAAAATTATTACAGACTATTGGGAATATAAAGGCCATGAAAATAATTATCCCCAAAGTGGTCAAAATGGATGGAGGGACAGATTCTGTTCTTAATAATACCCAACCACAGAGAGACAGTGACAGTCTCAAACTGGACAGGTAAACTCAATTCTTATTAAAATTTAAATTAAAAAAAAACTGAACAAAGAATTTCAAAAGTTCATGTGAAGGAGCAAATGAGAATGCATGAAAATTATATAAAATATAAAAAACAGTGAGAGTGAGAACGTGCATTATAAATATTAAGTGTTAGTAGAAAACTGTTCAATGATTGTGCCTCAGCACAATCTGTAGCATAGAGCATTCTGAAATAGATTCGGGCATATGGGAACTTTGGTAACAACGGTGGGAAAATACTGACTAATTTAATAAGTAATTAGTCAGTAGCGGGCTGCCCCTTTGGAGTGCAGTGATGGGATGAAATCCATACTTCCCAGGGAATGTTACATGGTCGTATATCTGAAACCAGTATAATGTATGTCAATTATAGCACTAAAAAAAGTTGTTCTGGGACCTTCCCTGGTGGTGCAGCAGGTCACAGCACAGCACTGAGAAGCCACTTCCGCATGAGTTCGATTCCCTCCTGCCCTGGAGGTGACCACATGGCGTGGCAGACCTCTCCTGATTCGCCCGCTGCTCCCCTCAGCAGTGTACTTCCTCCATCTGCCTGTTCTGCTCCCCACTCCGCCTCTGGTGAATCCTCTCACCGCCCCTGAACCTCTGGCTTGTACCCCAATTCTGTATGCATAAATAAATAAATCTTTAAAAAAACAATGTGTTCTGAACTCAATAAAGTATGCGTTAGAACTGTATCTTTTATCCCAAAGGATAGAGGGGAGAAGTTGACTTGATTAAGAGTCAGTAGTTTTTTATGTTGTTGTTTTTATATGTGCCATTCTCACTGCTGTGAGGTGGTATCTCATTGTGGTTTTATTTGCATTTCCCTGATTATAAGTGATACTGAACATTTTTCCATATACCACCTACAACAACAAATGTTGGTGAGGATGTGGAGAAAAAGGAACCCTCTTACACTGCTGGGAATGCCAGCTTATCCAACCACTACAGTAAAACCACTACGGAAAACTGTGTGGAGGGGCCCTCAAATGACTAAAAATGGAGCTACCATATGACCTAGCAATTCTACTCCTACGGAGCTACCTAAAGGACAAAACATCCATCCAAAAGGAAACCTGCACCCCTGTGTTTATTGCAGCACTATTTACAATATTCAGGATATGGAAACAAACTAAGTGTCCAAAACAGATGACTGGATCTGGAAGATGTGGTCTATGTACACAATGGAATATTACTAGGCAATCAAAAAGATAAACTCATGCCATTTGCAGCAACATGGATAGAACTGGAAGGGATTATGCTCAGTGAAATCAGTCAGAAGAAAAAAGAAAAACATGAGATGCTTTCACTTATAGGAGGAATGTAGGGAATACAAATAAGAGGTCAGGAGAAAAAACAGACAAAACTAGCAGGCAGCTATAAATCAGAGACGGTTTAGCTGGGGAGGGGGAGAAAGAGCATGAGCGACCATGATAACAATTTATGGGTGACTTGGTGGTGGGAATTTTATGGGAACTATGCCTGAGAGGAAAATGAAATGCACAAAAATGAACAATGAGACGAATATATATATATGTGTGTGTGTGTGTGTGTAAATGAAACAAAAAAGGCCAGTAGTGATGAGATGGGCATGGCATGTCCGAAACAACATGAAAAACAATGTACCCAGGTGCCTGGCGGTTATGAGGATAAGACAGGACCCCATCTGGTTGTGAATACAAGTGGTCTGGGGTGGGGGGCGCACCCCCCGGGGGTGTCTTGTTTCCCTATGTGAGGTGAACAGTTCTCCCTCTTGTGTTTTCAAGAAGGCGCAGTTTATGAGTCATATGTAGTGAAAGGCTGGCACATGCCATCTAGGCGGTTACCCTCGTGACCGTTGGATCTCCCTGGGTGGGGCCTGTGGGCGCTGCGGCCCAAGGAGCAGGTCAGATGGCGGCCAGGGAGGTGCCGCCACGGGTTGTAGGCCTCAGGGGCTAGTGGAAGAGCTCGGGCTTTTAGTTCTGCCTCTGCCGTTTGCCATGCAAGTGCCAGGGGAGGCCAGAGCCCCCCAGTCCTGGTGTGAGCAGGCCGTAGAGCCTCAGGGCCCTTGCTGTCTGGATCAGCACCTTTCCCCAGCCCACCACCCCCTTACCCGATGCTTCGCCGAGCAGCGTCAGGGTCTGTGGCCAGCACGGAGCCGATGAAAGGTTTCTTCTGGTTCTCCAGCAGCTGGAAGTGGTAGAAGGGCTGCTGGAAGTTGGGGGGCTCGTCCACATCTGTGACGTTGATGATGACTCGGGCCATGTTTCTGGTGGGGTTGGCGTGCCAGTAGCGGGTGTTGATGGTGGGGTCTGTGGCCTCGATGGTGAAGCTGTATTGTTGAATGCGTTCAAAGTCCAGGGGCTGTGGAGGGGGAGAATGATATTGACATCGACCCCGCAGGTGGGTGCTGGGTGACACCAGGTGTGCAGATTCGGGGGGCGGGAGGGGCTGTGTCCTGTAGAAGTGACTTACCTGACCGTGGCCATTGAGAACGTGCCTGGGCCAGCTGTCGGCTCCCCGCTCTCGCCCCCACCGCACCCCCCTCCTGGCCCCTGCTCCCACCCCATTTCATCTCCACGCCTGTCGGGCACTCTGTTCCAGGACTGAGTGTGTGTTGCGGGTTAGCCCTCGTCCTGCGCTCCAGGGGGCCCCCGGCCTGTGGCATGGCTCCTTCCTTTCCTCGGGCCTTTGCTTCTCCTGGGTGCGCCTGCCGAGCATAGCCGTGCTCGCCCCGCCAGAAGCCAGCCCAGCGGAATGACCTGTCCTCTCAGTCCCTCCCCACGGGTAGCTGCTCCGGGACGGGCTGCTCTGTCAGTTATACCCACATGCCCCTTTGTCTCTGCCTTCCCCACTGCTGAGCCCTTTGGTCCCTTGATGGCATCTGATGCCCCGGTGTCTGTGCAGGGCTGGGCCAGCAGGGCCCTGGGGAGAGGTGGCCTGGCTGGGCAGAGCAGTTCCCGAGAGCCCCGCGTGGTGTGGACCAGCCCTGCCCGGGACTCCCCCTCCCCTTGTGTCTGTGGCTCCGAAGCCTGTGCCAGCGTGCTCCGCCCAGGCTACCCCCATGCTCCCCGGCTCCCGACGAGCTCATGGCTTTCTGCTGTGAGGCCTGTACCCCTTGAGGGCTCTGCTGGCTCGTGCTCAGGGCAGGCTGGTGGGTGCCCGGGGAACGGGAGCCTCAGGGAGACCTCGGTCAGCACCTCGGCTCCCTCACACTTACGTGCTGCAACTCTGAGCCAGCTCCACGTGGCCCCAGAGCTCCCCATTGTGGGGCTCCCCAAGCACACGGTCAGCTCTGAGCTGACACCAGTGTGCACCCTGGATGTCCTTTGACCTGGGAGCAGCCCCTGGGTGGGCCCTGGGGCCCCCGGAACACCACCCCCCTCTCCTGATGTGTTGCCACCCACCTTTATGGGCTTGATGATGCCCTCGTTGTGGGCGGTGTCCGTCTCTATGGTGAAGGTGTCCCGGTACTCGCCCTGCACGATGCTGTACTTGGTCTCCCGGTGCTGGGGCTCATCCGGGTCCTCAACACACAGAGAACCCAGGGAGGTGCCGACGTGGATGTTTTCAGGCACCGAAAATGTGTACTTGGCTGATGTGAAAAGAGTTGCCGAGAGGCGCTGGGTTAATGAGATAGACGGATGATGTTCCCTCACACGACCCTGAGACAGCTGGATGCAGGACATGGGCGCCGTGTAATCATCGCCATCAGCCATCATCCCGCCCCTGAAATTGGGTGCCCAGAGAGTTCATGCCTCGTCCGGCCTTCCACCCCTTCCAGTAAGTGGTTCTTGAGCACCCGCTGTATGCCAAGCATTTTGCCAGGGGGCCTGTCGTTTGGCAAGGGAGACTTCGGGGCCCCTCAGGCTGTCCTGGGGGTGGCTGAGCTGCCGAACGACGCCTTAGCCACGGCTGCCAGCGGCGAATGCTCTGGCTTTCCTCTCCGCCCGGCAGGCCTTGTCGGACCTTGCTCGGGAGCCCTGCGATTCCTCCTCGCCAGCCTGTGCGGGCTTTGTCCAGGGCCAGGGCTGCCCTGTCTGGTAGTGGCCTCCAGGGCACAGCAGGGGCACACTTCCGGGAGCATGGTTTCCCTCGCCTGGCAGGGGCGGCGGCCGGAAGCGTTTGGCCAACTTGGGGAAAGTGTGCCGGGAGTGAGACGGGCCCTCCCTGGAGTCGGGGGCACCAGCCCCACCTCCGAGCCCCCCAGCCACCGAGTCTGGACATCCCACCACATGCCCTCCCCAGGCCCCTGGGAATGGGGGACTCACACTGGGTGAAGTAGGGGACGTTGTCGTTGATGTCCTGCAGCGTGACCAGCACGGTGGTGGTGCTCGACTCCCCATGGAGACCTTGGCCATCTCGTGCTTCCACCACGACCTCATACCTGGCCTTCGTCTCTCGATCCAAGTCATTGGTTGTCGTGTAAATGACTCCTGTGGAGCGTGTCTCTTCAGGAGCTATGCCCCCACCCTCCCAGAGGCCCTCCCAGCCGTTCCCCTGCGCTGCGTGGGCTGAGAACCACGGGCCAGCCGCTCCCTGCCTCCACTCTGTCAGGGTAAAGCTGCCTCCTCGGCGCGCCCAGTGCTGGTCCCAGTGCTGCGTTGAGAAGGAGCCTGAGGCCTGCCCCAGCTCAGAGGCGCGAGGGTAGCGGGGTGGGCCTGTGTCGCCTGCCTGGCGCCTCTCGGCTGGCGCAGGTGTCTGAGCCGTGTATTTGCCGTCTCTCTGCAGTCAGGTGCTCCCCAAGGAGCTACACCCGCCCCTCGCCATCCCCCTGAAATACAGAGTGCCCCCGCCTGGCCTGCTGGGTTTCTGTGTTTATCCCAAGACTCAGTCCTCATAGTTTTTAAAATCACAACAGTGGGGCCCTCCCTGGTGGCGCAGCGGGTTAAAGCACAGCACTGGGAATCTAAAGCCGCTTCCGCATGAGTTCGATTCCCGCCTGCCCCGGAGGCGACCACATGGCATGGCAGACCTCTCCTGACCCGCCCGCTGCTCCCCTCAGCAGTGTACTTCGTCGATCTGCCTGTTCTGCTCCCCACTCTGTCCCTGGTGAAGCCTCTCACCGCCCCTGAGCCTCTGGCCTGTACCCCAGTTCTGTATGCACAAATAAATAAATCTTTTAAAAAAAAAATCACAACAGTGGATGATTAGCATGGCCCTTATTGACTTTATCTCGCCTCCTTCAACCTCCATACTGCTGTGCAAGGTGGCTATAAGCATTCCCGTCTTCAGGCCACAAGCACACGCCTCGCCTGGCCGGCTGCCTTGCCTGAGGTCTTTGGAGGCTGCGGCAGCAGAGCGGGGCTGGGAGGCCAGGCCTGTCTGAGCCCCTGCAGAGAGGGCGCACTGGACTTCTTATTGTTATTTATTTTTGCAGAGAAGAACTGGGGTGTAGGTCTGAGGTGTGGATGGGGGGGGCGGTGAGAGGATTCACCAGAGACAGAGTGGGAGCAGTGCAGGCAAATCCATAGAAGCACACTGCTGAGGGGAGCAGCAGGCGGAACAGGAGAGGTCTGCCGTGCCTGTGGGTCGGCTCCCTGGCCGGGGCTCACACTCAGGCCTTAGTGGCGACAGTGCTGAGCCTCAGCCCCTAGGCCACAGGGAGGCCCTCACCAGTGTTCTGGTCTACCTCTTGTGCCACTGCCTGGACTGGAGTCTGTGTGGTGGGCACCTGTCTTCTGTCTGCCCTCACCGCCCTCCGCCTCAGCTTGTGCTGTCGGCCACCGGCACAGGTGACCCCTGTCAGACCAGATTCCCTCAGTACATGCACCCAGAGTATTTTACCCTCCCCCGCAGGGGGTTAGTCACACAGACCGTCATTATTGATATTGAAATGTTCTTGTCCCTTCAGGAGTTGGTACATGACAGAGGCATGGTCTGTGACCGTGGGGTCATCTGCATCGAAGGCTGTCACCTTTATGACCGAGGTCCCTGAAGAGAGAGAACCCCAGGTCATGCCCCATGCCCACTGCCAGGTGAGGGCAGAGATGGGGCTCAGGCTGTTCCCTGAACCCACCTCCCCCAGGTCCTGAGGGGGAGAACACAGTTTTGCTTTCTGAGCACCCTACGGGGGGGAAGTGCTGGCAGCCATGCAGGCCCAGTCCTGTCAGCCTTGAAAGGAGCAGTTTGCATTTTTGGGAGAGCTGGGGGCTGGGGTGCACGGTTAAGGGCACAAGGAGCACCAGAGGAAAAGCGGGGGCTGCTTCTTCCTAGAAGACTGGGCAGGTGCCCTGGTGACCTTTTCCCCTTGAGTTCCAGGATCCCCACACTTAATGGTCAGTTCTGACCCAAGGGTCCTGGCCCGGGACTCTGGACAGAGGGGCTGAAGAAGGAACTCTTTTTCTGGTGTTTTTTGGAGGCTGGTGGGGGGGAGAACTGAGGGAAGAGTGGGGACCATAGGCCTGAGGTGCAGGCAGGCGACGCACCGTGGTGAGGGCAGTAGTTTGTACCAGAGACGGGGGCGGGCCAGCGTCAGGGCTCAGTCTTTAGCACCGGGAGTTTCTCGTGTCATATAAAAGTGACAACAGGGACATTGCCACTGAGCTCACTGACGCCTAACCCTGGTCCCTGCTGGGAGAGGCAGCCCCGGGCTGGCGCTGAGGGGTCCGGGCAGGGGCACAGACTGGCCGTACCTGTAGGCGACATCTCTGGCACAGACGCGTTGAACAGCCGGTGCGTGAACACAGGCCAGTTGTCGTTGATGTCGTGCACTTTGACGGTGAAGCTGGAAGGGGACTCCAGGTACTCGTTGGTCATCTTGTTCACCACGAGGGCGGTGAGGTGGTACTCGGGGATTTTCTCCCGGTCCAGTCTCTCATGGGCGAACACGTTGCCAGTTTCCTTATCGACCTTGAAGACCTTATCGGCGTAGTCGCCCTTGAGCAGGTACCAGGCGTTCTTGTGGTTCACGCTGGACTTGACCTAGGCAAGAAGAGGCCGGGTGAGCCGGGCGTGGCCTCTGTGAGGGCTGGGCGTGTGGCTCCCGTGCACGTGGGCACCTGCGTGTGGCCCTGAGGGGCCGCCCAGGGCTCCTGACTGGGACTGGCCAAGCGCGGTGCCCTGTGGCCCCGTGTGTGTCCATATTTCATCCGCGCAGGCCCGTGTCCACGCAGGAGCCCTGTTTTTCACTGTCTTTTTTTTTTTTTTTTTTTGCCGAGGGCCCCACCTTGGACAAAACATGACAGTCCTTGTCCTGTTCTCTAAGCTCCTGTCGGCGGGGCCAATCCTCAGATGGAAGCTGGTTAGTGACCTTGATTGACAATGTGGAGGGCACTGAGGTGTTTTGTAGGGTGCCCTTCCTTTGGGGTGTTCTGCGGCTTTTCTCTTGGGTGACGCACTGGGATAATGGTGCTTTGTGGGAGAAGGGGTCTCAACCTTTTTTTTTTTTTTGACTTCTCACTATATTTGATTAATGTCTTGATGCCAGAAGCCACACTGACCCATACTGGTGGGCTGGCAGGCCGCTCAGGCCCTCTCCCATTGTCTGTGGGCTCTGTAAACAAAGGCTGCAGACTCTGCCGTGGTAAACAGGGACTTCCTGCCCTCAGATTACATCTGTGGGAGCCAGGGGGTGCTCCCTGGGACCCTGTTCTTGCCTCTCCCAGGTCCCTCGTTTCTCTCAGGGAGGGGCCTCATGTGACTCCCCAGCCCCATGGCAGGGCCGAGAAGACAGCAGGGCTGACGCTCTTCCTGCTCTCTGGTGCGCTGGGTTGCTGTCAGGGCTGCTCAACCTGACTCCCTGACTCAGCTTTCCCTTGGGGCCATCCATACTCTTCAGAAGTTGACTCAGGGCACAGGCATCCCATCCCTTCCCAGGGAAGGACGCAGGTGGGTGGCCGCGTTTTCCTCTGTGACACAGAGCCCGCAGTCATGCTGGGAGTCGGCTGACTCTGTGCTGGGACCCGGTTCGCCTCCGCCCTGTCCTTGTCCCGCCACAGGCCCCTGAGCGCGCGACTTCCCCTCTGAGCGGCTGCTCTGAAGGATTTGCATTTCCCGTCTGTTCTTGGGAGCCAGGGGAGCTGCGGGCGCCTGGCGAGCTGGACGGGCTGAGTGGACATTCCCCAGCGGCCACAGCCCAGCTGCTGTGGCCCTCCCCTGTCAGGGCCTGCTGCGGCCCCGTCTCTCCCCCGTAACTGTCAGTTGTGGGGTTCTTTGTCTGATGTGTGCTTTCCCTCTAGGGAACCTGGTGGGCAACCGGCCAGCAGCGCCATGTGGGCGGGAACATGGCCGTCCTTGCCCACCGTCACCCTCCCCGGCCTCAGCCGGGCCTGGCACGGCGTGTCACGCACCAGCACAGCCGCCTGGTCTGGCGCGTAGCTGAGCACGTGCGGAGCCCAGGAAAGGGCTCGCGAGATGTTAGCACACGTGCAAGGACCTGGTTCTCCCTGAGAGCCCCCAGAATGCCCTCGTGCTCTTAGGGAAGGAAGTCCCTTCTCTAGAGCCCTCCCTAGGCCCAGAGGGGCGTGCGGCATCGGTATCTCTGACACACGAAGCAGTTGGGGGGCGCTTAGATTAGCTCCCACTCCAGGGGGAAGTGAGGGAGGGGTGCGCTTTAAAGGGGGTGACCCGAGGCTTGGAGCCTTGGGTACCACCCTGGGCTCTCCTACACCCTGGGAGTGTGGGGCGACGGGGAATGGGGCAGCCTGAGAGAAGGAGGTTGGTGAGGGAGCCTTGAGCGGAGCTGCCATTGCACGGCCGGGATGACCAGCCTCGCCGGCCGCACGGGCTGCAGAGGCTGCTGGGCGCCCACCTCCGGCAGGAAGGCCTCCTGGCGGCCGCTCCTGAGGCCAGGAGGCCAGGCCGCCCCCTTCGGCCCTCCTGCCAGTGCTTAGCCCGCAGACAGAAGCCTGGGAGAAGACGGACCGTCGAGTCTCACTGTCACTTCCGCCATCGGTCAGGGCCCGACTCCCTTGTCCACCACCATGGCCGCCGCCGCCTTCCTCTGCCCCTCCCTGTCACTGTCACCAGTATCACCCTCGCCTCCCTCCCATCGCCGTCAGCGCCGCGTCATTGCCGGCGTGACCACCACCACCACCACGGCCGTGTCACCGGCCCTTCACTGTGACCGTGGCCACCAGTCCTCCCGCCTTCACCTCCGTCATCGCTGCTTTACACTCGCCGCCGCCATCTTTGTCATTCTCACGACAACCCCACCACCACTTTCTCTTTTCCATCGCGCAGTCGCCCTCCCCGTCCCTCTCCCGCTCCACCACCTCCACCTCCGGTACATCCTCC